AGATATTGATCTGAACCTTATTGGAAATTTTTTATATTGATGACGTCACTTCCGGTCGTGAGATATAGACAATTATCTGATTTTCAGAGGGTCGGCTTGTCCTGGTAATCACTCCAAAACGAATAAAGATATTGAGTTGAGATTTTCAGTGAAGGTAGAGGAGGGATTGTAGATATGCTTTTTTGCGTCCATATCTTTCCAGCGCAAAAGGCGCCAAAGCTCGCCTGGGCTCGAAAAATAGGCTCACAAGCATCTCGCAAAATTTGACAAGTTTTCTATCATATCTTTATACCTGTAAATATTTTGTTAAAACATATATAACAAAAGTTGTGCAGAATGATAAGTGCTTTCATTTGATATCAAGAAAAAGGGGCTGATCCCTCAAGTAAGGGGCTCCGAGGGGCCATAAGTCTTTCATCTATAACTTTTTAACGATCAATATTTTGTTATTCATTACTGAAGCAAAAATGTTTATCTTAACAATTTACAACAATATATGATAAGATTCTGATCATATGTTACGTAATAAGGGGTCAGAAGGGGCCAGAATGCTAAATCTTTGACGCTTTATATCTCGAAAAGGGGGAATATTTTGATAAGCAATACTGAACAAAAGATGGTCAGAATAATGTTCTAAACAATATGCACCCTTTCAATTTTTGTCAATCGGCCCCATTAAGGACTTGGAGGGGTGGCCCCTAAATATTTCCATTCAGCATATCTCCACAACGAAAAGAAATCTCTGTATAGTTGTTGAACAAAAAGTCTTCAAATTCTCGAGACCTTTCATTTGATATCAAGAACAGGGGGCTGACCCTTCAAATTAGGGGCTCAGAGGGGCCAAAAGTCTTTCATCTATAACTCTTTAACGATCAATAATCTGTAACACATCACTGAAGCAAAGATGTTTATCTTAACGTTTAACAACAATATATGATAAGATTCTGATCATATGTTACGTAATAAGGGGTCACAAGGGGCCAGAATGCTAAATCTTTGACGCTTTATATCTCGAAAAGGGGGAATATTTTGATATGCAATGCTGAACAAAAGATGGTCAGAATAATGTTCTAAACAATGTGCACCCTTTCAGTTTTTGTCAAACGGCCCCATTAAGGACTTGGAGGGGTGGCCCCTAAATATTTCCATTCAGCATATCTCCACAACGAAAAGAAATCTCTGTATAGTTGTTGAACAAAAAGTCTTCAAATTCTCGAGACCTTTCATTTGATATCAAGAACAAGGGGCTGACCCTTCAAATTAGGGGCTCAGAGGGGCCAAAAGCAATTCATCGATAGCTCTTTGATAATGTATATAAAATCAAAGGATTGAAATCTAATTAGGGAAGTCTATATATATTATTATCTTTTAACAAAGATCATGGTTAAAATCATATCTCATCTTATCGAAAAATCGGACGGAAGACCTACTCGTTGCTCGCAACGAGATCTCATCTAGTTATTATTATTATTCTTTTTTTCTACTTTCTTCTCCGGTACTTTTTTGTCCGGGAGTGTTCTCATAGAACCACTCATCCGATTGACATGAAACCTTTTTAGGGTTAATAGGCATGTTGTGTAGGTGTTCGGAACGAAGGTCATTTTGCGCGCACATGCATGCACGTGCGCGCGCGTGCAATGAGTGAAATGACTGATATACTTGATGAAACCGTAACTTTTATATTTCTTGATGAATTGCTTTGAAACTCAAAATATAAAGATATATTAGTAGTCTAGACAAGTTGACATGGTCAAATTAGCATGAACTCACGCGCATGCACGTGCGCTCTCCTCTGATTGGCTGATACAAAAATCTCAATAATTTCCTTGTTTTTTGACGAAATACTTTGAAATTTAAAATATAAGTATATATCATAAGGTGCTACAACATGTTACATAGGAAATCTCTTGAAACCACGCGCAGGCAGGTGTGCTGCAATCTGATTGGCTGAGACTTTAAATGTCTATAACTCACTTGGTTTTCAACAAAACAGGATGAAATTTACGACATGGATATGCTCATAGGGCTCCTACATTATGATACTATCAAAAGTGCAAGATCATGCATGCGTGTATGCTGAATTCTGATTGGCTAATACTTAAACGGTTACATCTCTCTTATTTTTCAATGAAATTCTTTAATATTTAAAACAAATGTATGTATTGTGAGACACTATAAGAAAATTATTGTGAAAAATGTAGAAAACATACATGTGCAAGCACATGCGCTGAAATTTGATTGGCTAATATTCCATATTGCTATATCGGAGAAGTTTTTCAATGAAATACCCTTATAAATAAAGTGTCCATCTATATTACCAAAGTATCGTCTAATTTATTGAAGCTTGTAGGGAATGGGCATCATAAGGAATTGGGGAGCCGTTTGGGGAACATCTGTAACGGTTCCCGTTACAATTAGCACTAATTACACTTAGGGTTGCAGGAAACCTTATTTATTAAATTCGTATTCACATGTGACAATCCCAAACAGAGCATATAATTTCAGATTTCTAACACGATATTTATCTTTTAGAAATTCAATCTATTTCACGGCCGTAACTAGGCTCAAATTTTTAGTGAGGCAATGGATCTGGGGGCCACCCGAGAGTCCCAGGGTAGTATCCTGATAGGGATTCTCGGGGGAGGGGAGAGTTCCCGAAACCTAGGTTTAGCAAATTAAAGACTTAATCTTTAAAAGTTTTCACGTTTTGAATTATTTTTTTTATATGCTTTCTAAACTATTATGAAGCTCCCGGTGAGATGATCTATTCACGGAAATTGAAACTGAAGTTGAAAGTATTCATTTAGTACAAAGACACACATAATTAATTAAAGTTCAAAGTAAAACTTTTTCACTTTTCAGAAAACTCTGAATTTTTAGTGAGGCATTTGCCTCACTTGCCTCAATGGTAGTTACGCCTTGTATTTTATAGATTATGCGTACGGTATATACAGCTTTATAATCTATTTTTAAAAAGTAAGAAGTACAGCGTATATATAATTAATTTTTCTCTACAAAGCTACTTTCAAAAATGCCGTGTTGGTCTTCTCTAGTCTTGGTCATATATTTTGCGTTGTTTGATTTGTTGCAAGGTGATTGTCCGTACAAAAAGGATATCAAGAGCTATACAATATGTATCTAAAGATATCCAAAACTCATGTGGAGTTCACCTGGGAGAATATGAGAACTGCATAGAAAAGAAATTTACTTTAGATACAGTTTTAAAAGGTTAAAAGAAGATCTACGTAAACCATTAAAAGGTAAAATATATGCATTGTATTAATTTTATGCATTTATCTACCAATTGTAAATATAACATTTTTTAGAATTTTCTATTTTAATATTAAGAATTGGTGTTAATTTTTGTTTTGTTTTAATTGTGCTTTTTTTTAACATACAGATACTAGTATTTACAAATGTACAACCCAAATGGTGTGTTTACAGCTCCAACGTCTGGAACCTACTTTGTAAGTATGAACATAATCTTATATCATGCTTTGGAAAATCCTCTTGATATATTTTTTCAAGATAGGATGTGTACAAAGAAGAAAAAGAACTTTTAAACATGGCCTTCTTACCTTAATGTAATTTACATACTCTAGTGTAATTGGGCATGGAAAAAACCCCCACAAGAAACAATGTTGCAAGCATCAAAATTGGGCTAGGACCCTTGTTTCAGGTAAAATGCAGTAATGCAAATGTAACAGTCATTATTCATAGAAGCTTATGTTACACGTTGTATCCTAGCTGTTTCCATATGTAAATTTTAAGCATTACAATTACTCCTTTTCTGCACATTTTTAGCATTTTTTTTTAATGAAATATATCAGTACATGTACATGAATAAGTAGTAATCTTTACATACATGCACCTAAAAATAAGTTACTTGAAAACATTAAGTTAGCAGTTGAATTTATTACCTTGTTTCTAGTAATAAGAACTTTCCAACAATATATTTTCTAGGTTTGAGATTATATAAGAATTTGTTATTCTTCAATAACAGTGCCATAAAGTAGGCACCATAAAATTAGCATGTCTAAGATAATTCTATTCCGTGAGACTTTTAAATTTTATGACTATAACATTGATGAAGATGCATCAAAATGACTAAGTATGAAAGACTTTAATGAAACAAACACAATATGGTGTTTTCAAGCAGAAACATTTCTGACCTCCAAAGACTAGAATTGCTATTTCCTTACATTAGAAGTTCTTAAAAAGAAAAAAAACATAATTAAATACAAATTCTACATGTATGTTTACAGTGAATGTGTTTTTTTTCAGTCAAAGAAAGGTATTGCACTGGCCAATGAATAAAAATCACTCTATTCATGATTTCAAAACAGTTATTAGCAAGATAAGCGTGAAAATGAAATTAAAAAAAAATACAGTAATAGGCCTATAGATGGACTAACATACTTCCAATAACTGTCTGATAATTAAACATAAATTCTAATCTGCAAATGCAGGCCTCTGGTGGAACATCTGATTTTGGCACAAGAATTGAACAAAACATATATACTAAGCATTCAGTAAGTGAATATTGTCAAAAATCAAGAAATCTAAGGAACTTAAATCTGTGTATCATTTATTGAAACTTACCAGGTGACCAAACACATGACTGTACATGTGTGAACATGTGTACATGTATATGTGTGAACTACTTTAAAATATCATTTAGAGATACAATGTTTATATACTTATCCCAGGTACTAGCCTTTTACTATAAAGAGGCACTTCATCTCTGTAAGAGATTGGAAGAGACTAGATCACTGACCTTGACATTTTAGATTAAAAAAGTTTCAAGTTTGTAAAAATAGATTTGTTTGCTTTAACAAGTTTTGATGATTTCCATACAAAGAGGTCAAGAATTGCTATAAATATATAGCATAAACAAGGTGTTCATCCTTCTGACCAATCAGATAACAGCATTTAGACAAACCCAAAAATAAATAAAACATGCTTTTTCTCCCCTCCCCCCTCCCCCCCCCCCCCCCCAACAAATTTAGATCAAAATTTTTGTAACTTAATTCATTCTCATTTAGAAATAATACAGCAATGCATAAAACAATTCTACCCTTACACCTTTCCTTAGGCTTGTTTGAAGTGAATAACATGCTATTCAGCACTCATGAATCCTCAAGATATACAGAAGTCTTGTTTAAATTTTAAAATTAGTCTATACGATTAACACTTGATCTATATGCATGAAAACTTCACAATATTGATGAAAATTGGATAGTTGAACAAGAAGTTTTATTAACCAACACAGGGCATTTCTGGTACACATAATTGACAATGTTTTGATGATGTGATATTCCTCAGTAAACAACAGTACTTTTCTAGTGCATTGTGTAGTTTTTTTTCAGAGATGAAAATGTCAAGTTTGTTCATGGTAAATTTGCAAAGAATTAACTTGACTCTTCCAAACTGTTCATCTTACTTGAAAAAAAACTTTTTTGTCTCAAAAATCTTCTTGAGGAAAAAGTAAAAGCATGTGTTCTCTTTTTGTTTCATTGAAGGTGCGAGAATGCTATTTTCTGATTGGTCCAAAAATATTTATGTGTAATTATGAAGTATAATATCTATAGCAACTGTCAGTTATCACTCTTGACTTTCATATATGGAAATAGTCAAGACTTGTTTAAAGATGATTTTATGGAAGGGCTTATCATAAGCTGTATCATTGAAATCCATGAAAATTTTTGTAATGCTAGGTTATTCTAGTATCATCACTCCGAAGGTGAAATATACTTACTTGGTGATCCACAATTTTAACAGGACACATTTAGTATAATATATGTGAAGTCAAAAACAAAATCACAGTAAAAATGCCATCTAAATTAGTACTCAAAGCATTTGGTTTTTATAAATTACAGAACAATGACTAGAGTTGTTTATGACCAGTTTTGTCTTTGTTGTCTTAGGTATTCGTTCTGTAGCTCTTTCAGATTTTGCTCTAGCATTTGTACTTCATCCAGTTTCCCAGCCTGTTTAGCTTGTTTTATATAACTACGAATTATATTCATCTGCTGAATCATAGGATCATCTGTATTATTAAAGTTAATATGACTTGACTCATTTGGAATCCATCCCGCTAATTTCTGAGATCCTGATCTCTCCCGAGTCTCGGACTGTTTCAGTTGCTCACTCCTCACTATCTCCTTCTGCTCTCTCTGTTCTTTAGCTCGCTTTTCCCTCTGTTGAGCCTCAAAGGCAGCTTGTCTTTCAGCTGCGATTCTTTTTTGTATTTCTAGTTTCCTTGCTTCTTGTAGCTTGACATATTGTTCCTCAGTGGGTAATGCCTGTAATCCTAACATATTATCCTGCATAAAGTTTGTAGCATATGTCCTAATTGCCCGTTGTAGAAGAAGTTGTTTCTGAGAAGGCTCATCTTCATTGTTCAGGCCAAGGTTAAGAATCCTTTTGCTTGGAAAGAAAAGTGGTGATCAATTAAAAGTCTTGTAAATGACTTTGCACACATTTTAAAACTAACTCAACAGTATGTTCGAGAAGAATTCTGCTTTGAATCCATCCTTTTTAAAGAACAAATTTTACAAGTCATAAACTTACCTTAAACCATCTATTGTTTCATAGAACTTAGTAATTTTTATTCTGTATCGCTGGGCTTCTTGCAAGTTATACATTGACTCTCCACAGCTAAAAATACAAGTTTATGTACTTTAACATGAATACAAACACATCATCATACCTTTTCCTGGTATGCATTAAACATAATAATCGTTTCTTTCATCAATTTTTTGAGAACCAAAATTTTTCATTTTTAACAATGGAAATCTCAGTATGATTCATTAAAAAAAGAAATCTTGCTTTAAAAGACTTTCATTTAGATACAAGTAATAAGTGACACTAGAAGTTTTATATAGCATTAATTATGATATGGCTGCTAGCCATGTACTGTAGATCACCAATTTATTGTGAAACTTTTATTTTCATGAGATTAGTATTTGGTATTTCTGAGCAAGAGAAAAATTTCACAAATTCAGGTTATTGCTGTATTATCTATTCTTATGAAAATATATATGCAAGAATAAAATTTTCGCAAGTAGACCATCTCACATTTATTAGGTGAAAATTAGGTTCTTGGAAATAAAAATTGATTTACAGTATGTCATGTTGACTTTTATACCACAGGTTTCATGACCCACATTACCTTAAGGACTCTACCATAGGCATATACTGAGTAAGCAGTTCTTCAGCAGCTTCCACACAAGATTTCAGTTTCTGTTGAAAATAAAAATAAACTTTTCATCATCATGCTGAAATATACAACACACAACAAAATGTTATTGTTCATATTATTCCATGTATATTTGATTGGTTGTGTCTTTTTTTTACTTAATATGGAATTTCGTTTTTTTTTTTAGAAGCACCAAGGTTTTACCTCATACAACAATACAATGGTGGGTTTATTTGTGCGCTGTTCTATTTGTTCATTGCGTCTTTCTAGCAGCTTGCGACAGTTCTGACAAGTTCTTATATGAGGGTCTCCTTCAGGACCAAGAATAGAATTAAGGCTACTGTTACTTCCTGTCCGACAAAGAAATCCTACTTCTCCATCTTGATTTTGAAAGGTGGGATCAGTTAGTTTTTCTGCAAATAACATCAAAAATGAATTACTAACCTCAGAATAAATTTTACCTTTAAAGTTATTTGTTGCTCACAATATTAAACCACAGGCACTTGATGTTTTAAATCTTTCTCTTTATTGATAAAAACATCCCCATACTATAATATGGGTATACTTTTATCAATAAAGAGAAAGGTTTAAAACATCAAGTGCCTATGTATTAAACTAACTGCTTCAGACACATACTATTTTTAAGGACCCTCTCTACACTGCACAAGTACATGTATTTCAGGGTACTTTTGTGTAATTAGACTGATACACCATTTGATATGAGGCCAAACAAAAAAAAATTGTGTGGTTCCAGTTACACCTCCAAAAAATTAGGGTACGTAGAAAGGTAGGTTCAAATGTTAACACACAATAATTTCATTTTGGATGTAACGCATCATTTGATTGGGTAAAAAAAAAAGTTTATATCGTATAACCTGTGTTGCCTATGTCACAATGACTTACATCAAAAATGTATCAATCTGCTTGATGTTACATTTAAAATATGTACAATTTGAAGAAATTTTTGAAGGACAAATTGTCTTTTTTTCTACACTTAATGAAGGAAAATTAAATTATAAGGAATGAATTTAAAAGTTACACAAATTATACTTGTATAACCTGGGTTGGAACAGTTTACACTTCTTTTTAAACCGCTTCGGTTCATTCCTTAAATGGACGACACATGATGACAAACAAAAAAAGATAGTAATAGGTCACCTGAATGAATCAAGTGACCTAAAAAAGGCAAGATGGAGCAATGTAATAAATTGCCTGGGACTAAAATGTATTTTATTATATTTAAATTTCTACTCACTTTCCATTTAAAACTAATTCAAATTCATCGTTGCTTTTGTCTCATATCTGAATTCATTTAAGTTAAGGAATATCAGCATTCCCCACAAATCTTGATGACATAACAACTTCAATATCTTGAAACCGGAATACATGTGTTCTTCATTTTTTACAAATTACAGTTACCAGTACATATCATAAGTTTCATTTTCTTTCTAAACTATACTTATTCCATAAATTGACAGAAATTGGCTTACTAGCAAAGGTGTATGGTAGAAACTGGGAGCACTTGTCACACATGATGTCTCCACAGAGTCGACAGTGGTGACGTCGTCTAGTGAGGGTGAAGTTACGCCGACAGAAAGGACACTCCTTAACGTGGCTGTCAGGAAGCCAGGGTACAACAGACTTCTCGTAGGCTTCAAGTCATGTAAAGAAAGTACATGCAATGATAATATTCCTTTGTAACTCCAGTTTCGATAAAATGAGTGCTACTATGCTTTTCTTCAATCATACCAGCTATCAATGAATGTAAAGATAATGGTTCCTATCTAATGAATAAATGATATTTCTGATTTATTCATTAGATAAGGAACCATTATCTTTATATTCTTTGATAGCTGAAATTCACTGAAATCAAAACATTTACCAGGTACCTGTAATAAGACATCCATTGAAAGAAACATCAGATGAAAACTTATCAATTAATTCCTGTAGACATTCATTCAAAGAAACATAAAGATGAAATATAATCAGTTATAATATAAATGCCTGTTTCAGTAGATTGTGTTATGAAATAAACCTCTGCGTTTGCTGGTTTCCATTGGTGCATCTGGTCCAGTAAGCTTGTCCAAACGGATGATCAACTTGTTGGTTTCAACGACGTATCTGTCAACTTTTGCTCCTCTGTGTGCTTTATATAGATCTGTCCAGGAATGAGTCACTCCTGATAATTATCAAAAAATCATATTAACAGGTAAAAACATAAAGCAAAAAATCTGAAAAGATTCCTATGATTTGTCCTTGAAATATGGGTACCTTTCCAGAGCTAATCATATCTAATACTGTACATGTATAATAATGGGGTTAAATTGATTAGCATCCATCACTTGAAAGAGTAATGAATATAAACTTAATGATAAAATTTAATTTTGAATGCTCAATTTCAAAATTTATCACAAAAAGTCTACAAAACAGCAATCAACTGACCAATTTCCTGAGGCTCCCATGCCACTGGGTCATACCCCGATATTGTGCCCGCTGGACTTTTGTAAACTGAGGACTGGAGGCATGACTGACTACTATCCTCCACCTCATCCCGGTCCCCAAGGATTTTCTTTTTAGCTTTTCCAAACAGACCTGTTGAAAGATTATTGAAGAATGAAAGTATCCTCGGATTATAAGATCAATATATATTCTCCAAATACTGTATGTGTACATAAATTAACGTATTCAAAATTTAGTGTAATCACCGGGTATGGAGTGGTTGGCAAAGTCATGAATTAGCGCTACACATATAGCGCTAAAAAATAAAAATAAAAAAAGTACCAGGTCTTATTGTCTAGGAGTTTTTAAGTAAAATTTTAATTTCTTACTCTAAATAATTTTTAAATATTGTATTAGATTATTGTATCCACCTGGCTGTAAATAGCACTAAGGTGTTTATTGTGCAGTCGTAGTTTGGTTGTTAAGCATTTAATTACCGATTACTAGTAATTAAAAACAATTAACTTAAGACCTTTTTATCCAGGAAGATCAATGCTGTTTAATAATGTTAGAATAGCATTGTGTTACTAACTGACTAATGCCGTACGTACGTTTATACATTGTCGAGGTTCACATATAGAGTATGCGTGTCGACACTGTTGAACTGAATGGTCCAATTGACAAGTGTCGATAACCCATTTTATATTAAAATTGAATTTAAATTAAAAGCGAATTTGAAAATAAATCACATTAAACATTGATATATACTTTACATACATTTATATAGGCCTATTGCCTGATGAAATAGATAATGACTTAAATCGGGCTTGATGTTCGAGGCCTGATAAAATGGCAGATCGAAGCAAGCATATCGTATTCATTTATTAACGGTAATCATGAATTAGCGCATAGCTGTTGGCACCAAAGCCGCTATAATATGAAACCCGCCTTTTTAAGTACACATACAGTATATATAATGACATGATTGTATTAATTACTTTTAACTTCTTCCATGTTACTTTCATTGTATTAATGATCTATAACCTCTTGCATTTTATGGCTTATTAAATTAACAAATCAATTTATAACCTCTTAATTGTTGTAGTACAATTTATAACCTCTTAATTGTTGTAGTACAATTTATAACCTCTTAGTTGTTGTAGTACAATTTATAACCTCTTAATTGTTGTAGTACAATTTATAACCTCTTAATTGTTGTAGTACATCCTTATCCTCAGTGGAATGTTCCTCCTCAAAATGACCCTGTAACAAGGTGACTGTCCCCAGATCTTTCATACACATTGGGCACAGGAACCCCTCTCTCACTTCTGCTGCAGTTGCCATCACTGTTTTCCTGCTGCTGTAACCAGTGTTACTACTTTCATTTAGAAGTTGAATAATCAAATATTATCAAGATTTGATTATTCAACTTTGATAAATTTCACCTTTTTCTTATTTACAAAAATTGTCCTTAGTGTAAAATTATTGTTTTTTTTTCTTTAAAGCTAATATTGCATGGAGGATGCTTTTTGAACCCATTGTAGAGGGATGAGCCCAACTCGCTAGAAACATGAATACATTTTTTTCTTCAGTGGGTCATGTGTTCCAACAGTTTAATCTTGGCTGAGATTCTTTGTCTGGAAACTTGGACTGATGCCTTTGGTGAAGACCGAAAATAGGCCTACTATTGACAGAGCGTTCTATCATTAAAATGATATTGTCCTAAGGATCTGGTTTAACGAAAGAATTCAGTCCGTGTATTGGCAATGTAACAAAATAAACACCGGCAATAACTCAAACTCGGTGTATTTACTACGAACAATCCAGCGAGTTCCAAATGTCAACACAGCGTGTAAATTTGAAACGAGAAAAAACGTTGAGAAAATAAGTTGGATGTACGTCTTTATATGGATTATTTTTTAGGATAAAAGGCATATACAATCTCAAAAGGTTTGTTTTGATTTTTTTTATAGGTATTTTCAACGCAACCCCTTTTGTGTTCTTGAAAATCATTTCGGAGTGGATCCGCTCCGATTTGCTACATTGCAACTTTACGGGACATATTCTAACTGTGGTGAGGGTTTTTCCCGAGACACAGTTAGATTATTCTAACTAGGCCTACTACTGAGAATCGTGCATAAAATCTGTATACAAGCTCAAAAAGGTTTACTATATGATTAATTTGGAGGTTATCTTTTTGTATTCTCCAAAATGTGCGGATCCACTCATTCTGCAACACTGCAAATGCCCTTGTATATATGAATGTGGTGAGCGTCTGTCCCGACTCCCGAGACACTAGATTACCCTAACAAATTTCAGTCATGATCATGATAATACTGGAGTCACACCCCTTCAGTTAAAATTGTCTCTATTTATTATTTTTGCACATATCAATTAAAATATAATTCAACAACCATAAAAATGATCTTAGATGATCATGCTTTTACTCATACTTACTCAAACCCACTTTAATCTTATATTTTCTGTCATTTGGATTGCAAGGAGAACATCTGTCAATCTTGCCGGAAATTGTCTTTGCAATGTAACTACAAATACAATGTACCAAACCCGTTTACTAAATTATTTTCATTTTTTTAATGACATATATTGTACATATTTTTCGATATGATATATTCAAAAAAATAATTATAATTATACTGTCTTTTTTTTTTAAATCTAAAACTTAAAAAAAACCCCCAAAAACTCATGGTTTCGGATTTACTTCTGTATAAGTTGACTTTTACGTGTTCTTTTCCGGTTTCAACTCCGTAGCGAGGTACATGTGGTTAAATTTTATTTCAGATTTTCTTTGATTTTGATCATCTTTTCATGCTTAATTTTCCAGGAATTTGGCTTAATAGCACTTTGTTTTACTTCTCATATTTAAAAAACAACTGTTCTTGAGTGAGAAGGCACAGAAATAAAGTTTGGAGTCTGTCAGCATGGATGAGGGGAGATAATTTGTAACTGCATAAATGCGTCAGGGCTCTACATTAACGTTTTTCTTACTTGTTCCGTCAGAAATGAAATGTTCCGTCACGGTCAGACTATGAAATTTTCTTTTCCGAACATAGCTTTTACTTGTCTATTTTTTTCCCAAAGATCAAATTGACAACTTGTAAAGTATTGTAAGTTAAAAAAGTTTTACTGGATGGGACCAATCGCCGAAATGGGATATAATAGCCCGTTTGGGCTATATAATATTAGAGATTAATCCTTCTGATGTTCCTAAACTTCTTAGGGATCAATATAACAAACTGAAGGGTTGCAGAAAAGCTTGTTAACCAAAAGTTATCTTGATGCGGATTAATAATACAGTCAAACCTTGTTATCTCAAACTCAATGGGACCAAGAAAAAACTTCGAGATATCCAATGATTCCAGATGTCCAGGGTAAAATACTTTAAGAATAAGGGCTTGGGACTTCCAAATCACTTTGACATATCCACATCATGGCATTTTCACTTTTCTCAGGCTCATCAAACTTCAGACCACATAAGACATAATCTAGACTGTGACATCGCTTGTTAGCAGGGATTGACACTAAGGCACGTCCGACTGACCCAGTCAAGTAAATGAGTGGTCTGGTCATGTCAAATGTTTGTGAACTAGGCCGACTGGTCATGTGGATGAAATAAATATTAACCCTCATTTCAGTCAAATAAATGTTGTAAAATCTTTTTAAAGATTTCCAATTGTAAACACAGCCATCGCACTGAAAAAGAAAATTTCCCTGCATGACACAATCGCTATTTTTAGCCCAGCTGTAATAGACAAGTCGCAGTCGAAACTAGCTTTGTTCAGTATCAATTGGTATAAATAGTTATCAAATAATATTCTTTAATTAAAAAAAAAATTAAATTCTTTAATAGGGTGGGTATCGCCAGAACATTTATATTGCGATATTTTGCAATATTTGATGGCATATACACGTATGTTATAAATATTGTGATATATTGCATTGCTGTCCATTTTTAGCTCACCTGAGCTGAAAGTTCAAGTGAGCTTTTCTGATCACCCGTTGTCTGTCATCCGTCCGTCTGTCCGTCCGTCTGTAAACTTTTCACATTTTCAACTTCTTCTTAAGAACCACTGCGCCAATTTTAACCAAACTTGGTACAAAGTATCCTTGGGTGAAGGGGAGTTTAAATTGTTAAAATAAAGGACCAAGTCCCCTTACAAGGGGAGATAATCAAGAAAAGACAAAAATAGGGTGGGGTCATTATAAAATCTTCTTCTCAGGAACCACTGGGCCAAAAAAGCTGAAACTTATGTGGAAGCATCCTGGGATAGTGTAGATTCTAAATTTTAAAAATCATGACCCCCGGGGGTAGGGCGGGGCCACAATAGGGAATCCAATTTTTACATTGAAATATATATGGAAAATCTTTAAAAATCTTCTTCTCAGGAACCACTGGACCAGAAAAGCTGAAACTTATGTGGAAGCATCCTGGGAAAGGGTAAATTCTTAATTGTTCACATCATGACCCCCGGGGGTAGGGCGGGGCCACAATAGGGAATCCAAGTTTTACATTGAAATATATAAGAAAAATCTTTAAAAATCTTCTTCTCAAGAACCACTGGACCAGAATAGCTGAAACTTAAGTGGAAGCATCCTGGGGAAGTGTAAATTCTAAATTGTTCACATCATGACCCCGGGGGTAGGGCGGGGCCACAATAAGGAATCCAAGTTTTACATTGAAATATATAAGAAAAATCTTTAAAAATCTTCTTCTCAAGAACCACTGGACCAGAATAGCTGAAACTTATGAGAAAGCATCCTGGGGTAGTGTAGATTTCAAATTGTTCAAAACATGACCCCCGGGGGTAGGGTGGGGCCACAATAAGGAATCCCAGTTTTACATTGAAATATATAGGGAAAATCTTTAAAAATCTTCTTTACAAGAACCACTAGGCCAGAAAACCTGAAACTGATGTGGAAGCATCCAGGGGTAGTGTAGATTTGAAATTGTTCAAATCATGACCCCCGGGGGTAGGGCGGGGCCACAATAAGGAATCCAAGTTTTACATTGAAATATATAGGAAAACCCTTTAAAAATCTTCTTCTCAAGAACCACTGCACCAGAATAGCTGAAACTTAAGTGGAAGCATCCTGGGGAAGTGTAAATTCTAAATTGTAAAAATCATAACCCCGCGGGGTAGGGCAGGGCCACAATAAGGAATCCAAGTTTTACATTGAAATATATAGGAAAAATCTTCTTCTCAAGAACCACTGGACCAGAATTGCTGAAACTTAAGTGGAAGCATCCTGTGGTAGTGTAGATTCTAAATTGTAAAAATCATGACCCCCGGGGTAGGACGGGGCCACAATAGGGAATCCAAGTTTTACATTGAAATATATAAGAAAAATCTTTAAAAATCTTCTTCTCAGGAACCAGTGGGCCAAAAAAGCTGAAACTTGTGTGGAAGCATCCGGGGGTAGTTTAAATTCTAAATTATACAAATCATGACCCCCAGGGGTAGGGCAGGGCCACACTAGGGAATCCAAGTTTTACATTGAATTATATAGGAAAATTTTTTAAAAGTCTTCTTCTCAAGAACCACTGGACAAGAATAGCTGAAACTTATGTGGAAGCATCCTGGGGTAGTGTAGATTCTATATTGTTCAAATCATGACCCCGGGGGTAGGGCGGGGCCACAGTAGGTATTACAAGGGGGAAATCTGGTAAAGAATGGCATAGCCAAAGTTACTCAGGTAAGCGATGTGGCCCATGGGCCTCTTGTTCTTAAAGTTTGGAGTAAACTGGATAGACATGTACTTTTTTCATTCCAATTAACTATAATGTATTCACTTAATCTGTAACATGATTTTTTGCTTTTTTTTCACATAGCAAATTAAGAGGAAAAAAACAATTGTTTTGCCTTAGTGAATGCTAATTAAATTAAAATTTAATGAATAGAAAAACAGTATCAATAAGAAATATTTAAAGCTTAATCATCAAACATTTATTTGCTGTTTTGAATTTCCAAACCTTTTCATTGCCCTTGTCTTTTTTGTTTCACCTTTTTTTCACCAACACGAAAACCTAAACTTTGTCAGATCAGCCACTAATCAAAGTTCAAAAAGAGGATAAATATATATAATAGAACTTAAACAGATGTTTACTTTTAAGTCATTATTGAGAATTCTTCTCCTTATTAAGAGTTTGGATTTCCCTGTGATGACTGTATGTCATGCACCACGCTAGAGCACACTTTAATGTGTGTCTGTGAAGATTTGACTGATCAAAGTTCTGAGGGAATCTATACTGTACATTTGCCATTGTGGCATTGAACCACTTCAGTTCACTGTGGCCAGATAAGTCAGTTTGCAAGTGTTTGTGTAGTAGGGGTGTGCAATATTATCAATGTATCGGTATATTGCAATTTTAAACCCAACAATAATATATTGTAATATTTTTTTCAATACCGGTATCGACAATATGCTAACCAAAAGTATTACATAAACGCAAAAATATGGTGTATCTCAGTTACTAAGCTGACTTTAAGTTTTTTGTTGTTGTTGTTATTAATAGACATTGCTAAAAAGTTATGAATGGAATAAAAAAGATTAATATATATTACGAGGATAATGTAGGAAATTTAAGTCAACAACAATTTTATTTTCTTTTTTCCAGAATACTTACTCTAAAAAATTTACAATTTCATACTTTTGCTTATCAAAATGGCAGAGGAAAAAACATTGTGAACGATCTTTTGGATTGTGATGCTTAAATTCTGAGTCCTGTGTTTGAGTACACATATGTTTAAAAATAAAAGAAAAGCTGTGAGATAAGCAAATATAATACTCTGGCAGTTTCACATTTTTTTTACGCAGATATAAGAGAGTAAGAACCTGTTGACTGTCTGCAAAAATTACAGTTAAATTTGGTTATCTCGAAGTTGACGGGACCGATGATGAACTTCTAGATATTCAGGGGTTCGACATATCGAGGGTTATAATTCGAATGAACTTCAAATAAACTTAGTGCAGTGAACATGTACTTAATAGGAAAAACATGTCTAATTCCTTCTTGTTTGAAATTCTGTAAATGATTTCCTTAATATATATACATGTACATGTATTTAGCATAAAAAGATATTTACATCCTCTTTATAATTCATAAAATAAAAACGTATAATATGCACAGAAGTATAATCCTTCTACCAACCCAGCAAGTCAACCGCTAGCATTGTTTCCCAAGTATACATAGCCGGATATCGTCTATGCATCGTAAATTTAAAACCAGTCTCTGTCAGAATAATGAAAACGAAATATACATTTTTTTTATTGGAAAAACATGTTCAGACATATAAAATCAGTTAAAAGAAAATTATTTTATCATAATAAAATCAAATGCAAAAGAAGAAACCCGCACTTTTGTGACTTTTGTCTAACTACAGAGCAACATTGAATCACAGGGCACTTTAGCACAAGTTTTCACTGCGACACACGCTCACATGATGGTGTGTATTGACAATTGTAAATTCTGCACGCTCAAATAGGAAAAATAAATTCTAATTGC